TGGGGAGAGAGAGAAAAGCGGCGACTGAAAGGAAAAGAGCAGACCGGAACCGATTGGATAACCGGCAAATCGGCAAGAAAAAAGAAGGAGACTATTGAGGTGGAGAGGTGGAGAGGCAGCACAGACAGAGGAGAACCGGTGAGACACCTTTGATTGTAACGAGAAGAGAGAGCTTTGACTACAGATATAAATAGATTTGACTGAGTTTGAATCGCGAGCTGTCAAGCAGAGAACCGGATGAACCAGAAGAAACCGGAAGTGCGGCCATAAGTTGGAACTGACAGTAAGATAGAGGAGGCGAGGCTGTGGAGACCAACGGAGAAGTTAAAGAACTTTGGGAGCTTTGGGAATTGAGAGGACATTGAAATTGTTGAAACTGTTGGTTACAGATCTGCAACAAATCCTACGAACTAACAACAGGAGAAAAGCATTTGAACTTTACAGTAACTCATAGATATTTTGAAATACATATACATTTTACAATTATATATTTATATATCTAGATCTACAGTATTTATAATTTCTTTAGGATATTTTATTAAATTTATTGATACATATATATAACTAAATATTTAAATAACTTGAACTTTAAATAGTAAGATTAGCGATATTTTTTTTCTCATTAATCTATTATTCTTCTGTTATCTCTTTGTGATTAATTGGCCTGAAGGACATAGAGTATAAGATTATAAACAGCTTAGAAATGTGATATGAATAGGAAATAGAGTCTAAATTAATTAATAATTATTACCTAATCAATTTATAAACATAATTAGTAATTTATTAATGTGAGAACTGCTGATTAAGTACAAGAATAGAATTAAGCTTCTGTGAGATAATTGAATTAATAGTGAATTAAGTATGTTTTATTATTGGTAATGACCAATTGAGATAGATTAATAAGTACCTGCGCTAATATTTTTCCCCTGCTCTGGTGAGAATAATAAGCGTTGGTAATACATTTATAGCTTAATAGAAATAATTAGTGGATAATTTGGAGGATCATCGAAAGAATTGCGAGAGAGCAGAAGAAGGTTCTGAGAGAAATGACAAGTGTCTCATCAACTATACTCAAAATGGGAAAGAAGACCTCTTCCAATCCTACAATAACAAAGTCCTCACCAGCCATGCAAAAATCGACAGAAGGTCTAACGAAAACAGAAAATTTGATTGTAATTCCGACCATGCAGGCCATATAATCGACACTAACAGCGATTCAAGACACCATGCTAAAGATGCAGGAGAAGATGACAAACAGTCATGCAGAACTGAAGATGGATCTCCAAGTCATTGACCAAAAAATGAATGAAATCCAAGTGTCAATACACAACAACGAACAAAAAATAATAAAGATGGAGACCAAGATAGAACAAAACGAAAAACACTTAGATTCAATTGACCAGAAGGTGATGGCACAAAACAGAGAATTGGAAGATTCAATAATCCAGTTGGAAATGGATAGAGCATCCTTTTATTTACGCTTCCAAAATATAGTGGAAGATAAGGAAGAGGACCTAGGTCAAGTGATGACGGAGATAATAGCGGAAATGTTACAACAAGACAAACAAGAGATAATAAAAGAGCTAGATGACATGTATAGAGTCCAGACCAACTATGCAAGGAGGAACAAATTGCCCAGAGAAGTACACGTCAGGTTTGTGAGGAAAAAGGTCAAGGACATACTTTATAATATGGCAAGAGAAGAACCAGTGACCTACAAGGGAAAGGAGGTGATAATTTTAAAGCAGGTTCCCAGGAGAGTGAGAGAACTGAGAAGGGACTACAGGTTCCTAGCGATACAATTGAATAAGAGGAATATCCTCTTTAGGTGGATTCTACCAGAAGGGATGTTGATCACCTGGCAAGGGGAAAAAATTACAATAGACAGCCTTATTACAGCACAAGACTTCCTGGACCAATTGAGAGGAGCGGTGGAAGATCAAAGTAGCAAGGAAGAGTTAGAAGTAATAGTACAAGAAGAAGAAAAGACATACCAATGGAAATCCAAAGAGGGAACACTGGAGGAAAAGGAGACGGAAGAAAGGGATCTTAAAGAGACAAAAGGGAAAAAACAAAGACTGCAAAGAACTACACGTGCAAACAAGAACTAAAGTAGAGTATAAGAACTAAAAAATGGAGGGATGGAAAATATTATCAGTCAATGTCAACGGACTAAACGACAATAGAAAGAGAAAACAGCTGTTTATAAAATTAGCAAAACAAAATGCAGATATAATATGCCTCCAGAAGGTCCATATAAGAAAAGAAGAGGGGAACTGACTAGATTACAATAAATTTGGAAAAACCTTTACATCCTTAGCGGGGGGGAAAAGAGGGGAGTAGCACTATATGTTAAGAAAGGGATACCAGCTGAGTTAAAACATACTGACACCCAGGGGAGAACATTAGCAGTTGAGATTAAGAGGGGGAATTCACCAATACTATTAGTAGCAATTTATGCCCCAAACAAAAATCTGGGAGACTATTATAAAAAATTAGGTGAGAAAATAATTAAAATGGATTACAGCAAGATTTGTATAATTGGTGATTTTAATGGAATTGTAGATCCAGATAAAGACTATAAGAGTAACAAGGTCCAAAAGAAGAAGAGAGATAAATTACCAAGAACTTTTTTTGAATCAATGGATGAACTAAATTTAGTAGACATATGGTGGACCCTACATCCAAATAAGAAACAGTATACTTTTTACTCAAATACGCAAAAATCTTGGTCGAGGATCAACATGATGTGGGTCAGTAGGAACATGGCGATGGAAATTGACTCGGCAGAGATAGCACTGAATATATGGGCGGACCATAACCCTCTAGAGATAAAATGGAAAAATTCACAGAGGAAGAGGCAGAAGAGATGGAGATTAAACACCCAATTCTTGAGGGATAAGAAATATACCAAAAAAATTACGGGAACTTTAAAACTATTCTTTGAAGAAAATGAAAATCAAGATACCCCCCAAACAACCATATGGGACACAATGAAGGCATATCTAAGAGGGCTGGTTATATCCCACAGTATATATAAAAATAAAGAAAAAAGGAAGGCACAGAAAGAACTTGTAGAGAGGCTGGGAGAAGCAGAAAGGATCCTACAGCAAAGCCCTGGAGACGAGGAGGCAAAAGAAAATTGGATGTTAACCAGACATAAACTGAACATTCTGGATCAAGAAGAACTGACATATAAGATAAAACGCTCCAAACAATACTACTTCGAAACACAAACAAACCAGGCAGATGGCTATCGTACAAATTGAAAAAGGAGAATGAAAAAGGGATTATCTACCTATTAGAAGATAAGAGTGGGAATATACGAAACAAAGAGGAAATAGCAAGGGAATACTACGCAACATTGTATAAGGAGGAGGAAATCCCGAAGGGAAAAATTGAACAATATCTGATAGAGGAAAAACTCCCATGGATAGGAAAGGAGGAAAAAGAAATGCTGAACAGGGAAGTCACAATAGGAGAGCTAAAGACAGCAATATCTAAACTCAAAAACAATAAATCACCAGGCCCAGATAGGTTCCCAGGAGAATTGTACAAAAATTTAGATTTGGAGGAAATACTTTTACCAAAATTACTAGATATATGCAATGAGGCTTTTGTTAGGATATGGTGTAAGCCTAACAGGTTGTCCAGGCAATATATGTGTGCTATAACTTTAAATGAGTTCTGTAACTTTAAGATGTAATGCTAGTAATTGTACTGATGAGTCCTTGTAATTGACTGCTGACTGACTGTTGACTGCAATTATCCTAATTGTACTGTTGAGTCATTGCACTGCTGACTCCACTTATCTTAAGTGGATAATTACTAGTGTAAACTGTATATAAGAAGAGAGCCAAGCTATAGTCATTGTTGGTTGACTTGTTAGTTGGAACTGTTACCGTCGTGTGTGAAGGAGCTCTCATCGTGGATGGATCTTCTACCATCGTGATTTGTTACCAGCGTTGAATTGCTGTTTATTACCTACTGCTATTTTGTATGGTAAGAAGATTTTTGTAACTTCGGACTGATTTGAATGGCTAAAGACTTGGATTGACTAAAAGACTATGCAATTGTTTTTCACTACAAAGTAAAAGCTTTGTTAAACCAGTTTGTATGTATTGTATTCATTGCTCTCAGTACCGTTTCTCTATGCACTTGCTCTGCTGGTTGGTTAACACAACAATATCCTTAACAGCTTTGATGGGATCCAGAATTCCGGACTCGTGGAGGGAGGCATATATCACCCTTTTGCCAAAAGAAGGTACTGACGTAAAATCAATATAAAATAAAGAACTATAGGCCAATTACCCTCCTAAACACGGACTATAAAATTTTTATGAGTGTGATAGCGGAAAGATTAAAAAAAAATGTAAATAACATAATACACACAGATCAAAATGGATTCCTTCCCGGAAGGCATATGAGGAACAATTTGAGAATAGTGACCAATGCCTTAGAATACTATGAAACACATTCAGAGAAGCAAATGGCGCTGATATTCTTGGACGCCCAGAAAGCGTTCGATAATTTGAATTGGGAATTTATGATTCAGCAAATCAAAATGATGAAATTTGGAGAAAACTTTGAGAAGATGATAACTACAATCTATGATAAGCAAAGAGCAAATATCTTATTAAATGGAGATATGACAAAAACTTTTCAAATTAGGAAGGGGGTGAGACAAGGATGCCCATTGTCACCATTATTGTTCATAATGGCTTTAGAAAGCCTATTAAGAAGAATTAGGAATAAAAGGATTAAAAATTAGGAAAGAGATTTACAAAATACAGGCATTTGCCGATGACGTCGCCTTAATTGTGGAAGAACCATTAGAGACAGGGAAATTTTTTTTGGAAACATTGGATAGTTATGGAGAAGTATCTGGATTTAAATTGAACAAAACAAAAACTAAAATGTTAACCAAAAATTTGTCAGAGGACCAAAAGAAAACATTAGAAAAAACCCTAGGCTTGCAAATAGTTAAAAAAATAAAATACCTTGGCATCTGGATAACGGCAAGATGCTTGACCCTAAAAGAAGACAATTACAAATCCTTAATTAATAAAGTTAAACAAGATCCGGAAAGGTGGGGAAAATGACAACTATCACTCTTAGGCAGGATAGCCTCAATAAAGATGAGCGTCCTGCCGAAACTATTATATCTCTTCTAAACCACCCCAATTCATCTAGATAAAAAAAATTTTCTTAGAATTGAACGCATCACCAGGAAATTTATCTGGGGAGGGAAAAAACCAAGGATTGCCTTACAAACATTACAGGATAAAAGGAATAGGGGCAGTTTTGGACTCCCAGCATGGGAAGTTTATCACAAAGCAGCAAACTTGGTATGGCTAAGGGAATGGGCCACCTTAGAAAATAAAAAAATCCTGACATTAGAAGGACACGACTTGCAGAGAGGCTGGCACGCCCATTTGTGGGATAAAAGCCAAAAGATAAGGACATACTTCCACAGGCATAAAACAAGGGACGCATTAATGCAGACCTGGAAAGAAATTAGACATGCACATTATACAAAGGTCCCAAAATGGATATCTACAATGGAGGCCATGATATATCCTAATATGTTAGGAATGGAAATGTTCAGGTATGAAGATATTCTTTTTCTTTTTTTTTATTGAAAAGTTTTACAAAAAGTTTACATATTTCCCCCCCCCTTCCCTACCTCAACCTCCCCCCTCCCCCCCTCCCCTTCCCAGAACAAATTACAGGGTATAAACTTCAACAATCATAATCAATCCTAATCTAAACAATTATGACATTTCACATCTCTTGTTTCTTCAATTCCCTAATTACCCGCCTAGCTTTATTACTTAAAGTCACACTAAATATCTATATAATCATTCATAACCTATCTGCAATTTCTTATTCCGATATTTATTTTGAATATAATCTATCCACCTTCTCCAGTCTCTTAAATATCTTTCATTTGAATGATCCTTCAGGTACGCCGAGATTTTTGCCATTTCCGCTAGATTTATAACTTTCATTGTCCACTCTTGGATTGTAGGTAAATCTTGCTTCTTCCAATATTGTGCCACAAACAGTCTTGCTGCAGTTATTAAATTCAAAATCAATTTAGTCTCTATAACTGTACAATCCGTAACTATACCCAAAAGAAACAGCTGTGGTGTAAATTTCAACCTCTTTTTAAGAATATTTTGTAAAATCCACCACATTTTAATCCAAAACGCTTTAACCTTTTTACATGTCCACCAAATGTGAAAATAAGTAGCATCCTCACAATTACATCTCCAACATTTTGGTTGTACATTCGGATACATACGAGATAACTTTTTTGGATCTAGATGCCATCTATAAAACATTTTATAAAAGTTCTCCCTTAAATTTTGCGCTTTGGTAAATTTCACATTTGTTACCCATATTTTCTCCCATGTTTCCATCATTATTGGCTGTTCAAAATTCTACGCCCATTTTATCATACAGTCCTTAACTAGCTCTGTTTCCGAGTCCATCTCTATCAGTATATTATACAATCTTTTTATATGCATTGGGCTTTGATCTCTAATTTGTTTAATTAAATTTTCATCACTTTGTATAACACCAGTTTTCTGGTCTTTTCTCCATCTGGCTTGTAATTGTACATATTGAAACCATGTTTGAATTATTTTCTCCTCTTTCAACACATTCACAGATTTTAATTTTAATATACCTCCCTCCATAATGAGAATATCTTTATACGTAATTACATCCTGTCTACATTCTATACTCGTATTCTCTATTGCGTGCCTGGGTGCTGTCCATATAGGTATTTTTTCATTTAACTTATATTGATATTTCTTCCAGACACGCAATAAAGCATTTCTCAGTATATGACTCTTAAATGCTCTGTCCACCCTTTTTTCATACACTAAATAAGCATGCCAACCATAGACCAGATCATACCCTTCAATATTCAATATCCTTCCATTTGTTAAATTAATCCAATCACTAATTGCTGATAAAACAGCTGCTTCATAGTACAATTTTAAATTTGGCATTTTCAGTCCTCCTCTTTCTCGTATGTCCTGCATTATTTTCAATTTTATCCTTGGTTTCTTACCTTGCCATACGAACTTATTAATACCTTTCTGCCACTCTTCCAGGTTGGCATCCTTTTTTAGTATTGGTATCATTTGAAAGAGGAACAAAAACCTAGGCAACACATTCATTTTTATAACTGCTATTCTACCCAGCAAGGACAATTGTAGTTTTTTCCATTTATCCATTTCAACTTGTATTTTATGCCATATCAATTCGTAATTATACTTATACAATTTACCATTAGAAGATGCAATATAAACTCCTAAATACTTGACTTTTTTAACTATTTCACATCCCGTTACCCTTTGTAACTCCTCTTTTTGATTAGCTGTCATATTTTTAACTATCATCTTTGTTTTTCCAATGTTTATCTTAAACCCAGATACTTGACCATACTGTTTTATTATATCAATCAAAACCTTTGTTGATTCCACTGGATGAGTTAAGGTCATAACCAAATCATCTGCAAATGCCCGTATCTTATATTCATAATCTCTAACTTTGATTCCCTTTATCCCATCTGCATTACGTATTTTATTTAACCGCAACTCCAAAGTTAATATAAATAATAATGGCGATAAGGGACATCCCTGCCTCGTGCCTTTTTCAATTTTAAAAGTTTCTGTCAAACTGCCATTAATAATTATCTGAGCTGTCTGTTCCTGATATATTGCTTTTATGGACTGCATAAAGCAATTCCCAAATTGCATCCTATTGACCACTCTCAATAAAAATTGCCAATCTAATCGATCAAAAGCTTTTTCCGCATCCAGAAATATAAGCACCGCAGGGATTTGGTTATTCCTTTCCAAATGTTCCAATATGTCAACAATTTGTCTTACATTATTTTTCATTTGTCTACCTTGTATAAAACCAGTTTGGTCAGCATGAATCGTCTTCTGCATTACTAGCATTAACCTATTTGCCAATATCTTAGCAAATATTTTATAATCTGTATTCAATAAGGATATAAGTCTATAATTTTTGGGTTGTGTCAAATCTTGATCTTCTTTTGGAATTAATGAAATAAAAGCTGTTTTCCATGAAGGTGGTACCCCTTCACCCAGCTGAATTCTATTGAATAATTCTTTAAGAGGTAAAACCATCTCCAATTGTAAATATTTATAGTACACAGCTGTTAATCCATCCGTACCAGGAGTCTTACCAGTTTTTAACTGTTTAATTGTTGAGAGGATCTCCTCCTCTGTTATTAATTGGTTTAACCGTTCTCTTTGTTCCTCTGTAACTATTGGAATATTCTGTCTATCCAGATATGTCTCTACCTCTGCACCTTGTATTTTGTCTGCAGTATACAATCTTGCATAAAATTCTAAAAATGCCTTTTTAATCATATTTTGGTGATACATCTCTCCACCTTTATACTCTATTTTCTCTATGGTACGAGATTTTTGTTTTTTCCTCAGCATGTATGCCAACCATCTACCTGGTTTATTTGCATTACAAAAAGTATTATGTTTAGCATATTGTAGATTGGTTGCCACTTGGTCTGAAAGCATCATATTAAATTGCCCACGTAATAAACTGATCTCTTCTTTAATTTTCTTATCCCCTGGGTTATCAATTAACACCCTTTCTTTTTTCTTAATCTCTTCTTCTAATTCCCTCCTTTTCTCCACTTGTTTACGCCTATAAGCATTATTCATATTTATCAGAACTCCTCTCATATATGCTTTACTAGCATCCCATACCATATCCATAGATGTTCCCTTGTTCATATTAAAAACAAAAAATTCCTTCATTAGTTTTTTACATTCTATTACATTTTTCTCATATCTGAAAAGGTTTTCATTTAACCGCCAAGATCTCCTAACTCTTTCCCCACACTCCAGTTCCATCCAAACTGGGCTGTGATCAGTTAAAATTCTGGGACAAATCTTTATCTTCTTTACCCTGGAAAAAAAATCATTTGTAATTAATATAAAATCAATTCTTGAAAAGGATTGATGTCTATCTGAAAAAAATGTAAAATCTTGTTCTCTATAATTCCTTTCACGCCAGATGTCTCTTAATTCCATATCCTCCATCATATCAAATAAAGTCTTAGGCAGTCTAGATCGCAATTTGGTAGATTGTGCTATTCTTTTCTTATCAATACTAGGGTCTAACACTCCGTTCCAATCTCCCATCAGTATACATGAATTATAATCCCAATGTAATAATTTTGTATGTATCAACTTATAAAATTTCTCTTGCTGTTGATTGGGAGCATATATCCCCAATAAGAGTGTTTTCTTTCCTTCTATCATTATCTCAATTGCCAGAAATCTTCCTTGTTGATCTGCCTCAACTAATTTAGCCATCAAATCTCTTTTCAAGTAAATCACTATTCCATTCTTTTTTTCCGGGGCTAATGCAGCAAAATGTGTTCCCAATTTTGTATTTATTAAATATTTTTGGTCAGTTGTCCTTATATGTGTTTCCTGCAGGCATATTATTTCATTTTTAAATTGTCTCAAATGGTGAAATATTTTCTTCCTTTTTTGTGGTGAGTTTAAACCATTAACATTCCAGGTTAAGAACCTAGAAGCCATCCTCAGAATCTCGAAGCTTGGCGAGAACCGCTTGATAATCCTCTTGGAATTTTCTTTTAGGTCTCGCCCCTCCCACAGCTTCTACACCAGTATTCACTTCTTGTGATAAAGCCTGCTCTTGTAACTTTTTTAACTCTTCAACTTTACGTTTAGTAGCTGCTCTGGTTTGTCTTTGATCTTTGCCTTCTTCTTGTTTTTCAACTATATCCCATGCTTGGACAGCACTTGAAAGTTGCAGTACTTCCTCCTGCATACTCATAGCTCCGCCTTCCGATTGCTTCTGCAGATCCTCTTTTCTTCCCTCTGTCGCCTCTCTTGCTTTTTTGCCTCCTGGCACTGGTGGTTGTCCAGCCTTTAATATATTACTATAAAAATCTCTTGCTTTGTAAATTGTATTAAGGCGATATCGCTCTCCT